GACAAGGACTACAATCTTCTGATTAAGTAATGCTTAATTTCATAAAAGGAAACTACATGAAATTGAATGAGCTTTTAAAAGAAAATATTGAGAATTGCTCTCCAAAGTCAGAACATTTGTAGGTAATATAGAGATTTATTCCAAGCAGAATACTGGAGATGTAAAATTAATACTAGAATCTGTCCAGGAAAAGGTAGTGTGGCTAAGAGACAGTATGAAGGAAACTACTAAAAAAATGCCATCATGCAAAAATGTGAACTTTGTATTCTTTTATACTTGCCTCATTTGACTAAGTTAAATGAAATATACAGTAGCACAGTCCAGATAAACTTTGAGGAATACCTTGCAAATGCATCACTAATACATAATTTTTTTCAAATGCCTGTGATGATGGATGTGGAAATGATGATGATGCAGTGGAAATTCTTCCAGTTCCTCTAAGGCCTACTGGGGATAGAGGCATAAAGAGAATTGAGGGAAGATGCAACTCTGTCTATCTGTAAATAGTGAAGCACACATTTACCTTGGGGAATCTTGGAAAGGTCACCAGTTGCCATTCCAGAGTCTTTGTTTATGAAATCAAGACAGAGAAGCTGAAGAGGTTGTGGAAGAAACTAGCGAAATAAACAGTAATAAAGCACTAGGGCCAGTAACACACCAAGGAAATGTCTGTAGGAAATAAGGATGAAGGAGTAGAATCAAAACATGACCATGCAGCATCTTGCTTAATGCTGTTGAGCAACAAACTGCTGTAAAGGCATCTGGGGACTGTCTGGAGCAGGAAAACTGTTCTAGCTATAGTGGATTAAACAGAATAGAATATAATACTTACTCATACACCTGATAATACTTCTTCAGTGCAACTTTCATACGTGTTTTTGTTATGCCTTATAATCTTCTAAGTTTCTTGAAGAGATCTGGTTGACTCGTGTGCTTTAATTTCCAAAGCAGTTATTAAGGTCCCTTGCCAAAAGTTCTTGAACAAACTGAGCTGTCATGAAAAAAAAGCTCAGAGTATTGAAGCTAAAGACAAGTGGTCTCTAATAACTTAGTCACTATGGAACACTACTGGACTACATGCATCTTACAGTTGTTAATTTGCCATGTTTAGTGTGGGACTAAGATTTTAAAAAATATGGTTGTGGATGTAAACAATATATGTCAATAAAATAATCTCTGCTGATAAATACTTGAATTCTGGTTTATGTAATGTGGTTGCCCTCAACTGACTCTGTTTTGTTAGTATCAGTGTTTTTTCCATGTAATATCACTTGCTTCAAAGCTTATCTAGATTAACTTTGTGCATTTTTTACTTCTCCTAATAAGCTGAATAATTGGTTTGCTAAAAAATTTCCAGTTTTTCCAGATTTGTGATTCCAGAGTTGCTGTATTAAAAACATCTGCCAGCCCTGAACAAGGTACTGCTGCTCAGATAGTCAGGGCAGTGCATACCAATGAAATGCTTTGCTGCCAAGGCACCAATAGAGTGAACATTCAGCATTCAGGCTTGCCAACAGGTGGATATGGAGAAAGAAATGTTTCAGCAGAAGCAAAACACCTGAAGGATGGGGAAAAGAAAACAGCAGTTCCTCTTAAAAGAAAGCAAAATGTAGCTGCATCTGGTTCAGAGAAAATAAGAAGATTACATGTAACAACCTGTACTTCTTCACGTGAGAACTTCACATACAACTGTACTTCTGGACAAACAGAGACTTCTGGAAATTATCCTTGTGATATCAGCAGTTTAGGATGTAAAGAGCAAAGAGAACTGCTTGCAGCTATAGAACAAGCTGTGGCTTTTGTAACTACTATGATATTTCAAGATGGTTCTTCACAGCTCAATTACATGTAACAACCTGTACTTCTTCACGTGAGAACTTCACATACAACTGTACTTCTGGACAAACAGAGACTTCTGGAAATTATCCTTGTGATATCAGCAGTTTAGGATGTAAAGAGCAAAGAGAACTGCTTGCAGCTATAGAACAAGCTGTGGCTTTTGTAACTACTATGATATTTCAAGATGGTTCTTCACAGCTCAACTCAGAGCAGGTTAGTGAAGGATTTGTTTAGAGTTGCTTGCAGCTATAGAACAAGCTGTGGCTTTTGTAACTACTATGATATTTCAAGATGGTTCTTCACAGCTCAACTCAGAGCAGGTTAGTGAAGGATGAGTTTTGTTTAGAGTCAGTTCTGTAGAACCTTTTGAATGTGCATGTGACTGATAAACACAAACCCATGTTCACTGGGAGCCAGTTGTGTGTATTGCTTGCCAAAATATACATGTAAAATCATGTAAACATTAATATTTTGACTATGCTTTATTTTTAGTTACTAAGTAAAACTTTAGAGAAAAGAAACTGCTTGGGCTAACCAGACATTTGTGTACTTAAAGTGAGACTGAATTAGAATAAATATTTTTTTTTCTACTTTCTACTATGTCACTGTGGATTTTTGTTTCAAGACTGCCATACTGCCCTACTATGTCAGTGGTGTATGCAGTAACTCTGGTGTATGTAATAGGTTTCATATTGTAAGATATTTGGGAGCTTTTCTTTATAGGATTTTGCACAAAATCTGTCAGAGGAAACACTGTTGTAATTATACTTAACAGGTCTCAACCTCCTCAGTAAAAGGAGTAGTTGTGCTGGTGAAGAATCAGACCGATCACTCTTGCCCTCCCAGTTACTCTTCACCTTGCTGTACTTGGAATGCTGCCAGTGAGAATGATAAATTGATATACTTAAAAACTGAACGATCATCTCCCTGGGAACAAGGACAACAGGCTCACAAGAAGTTTTCTTGGTGAGAGGATGTAGGAAAAATACTGCTTTGCTTTACATATGCTTTTAGCAGCAGTGATGTTGGTTCCATAGCACAGGCCTAATCTCCTTCCATGTCAAGAACATTGGATTTCATATTGGCTGTTAGTCCTGTGTCATGTCTGGGCTAATATAAACCTAACAAGAAGAGACTATTCCTTTAGGCTCAGCATATCACTAGCTGCAGCCCTGCAGAACCAGGTTGGGATTCTGGTAGGAGCTGTTTACATTGACCTGGAAATACTTTATGAAGAGCTAAAGTTATGTTTCAACGAAGAGTGTGTTTCATCCAGGTTTATCTTTCTTGCATTTCATCTTCCATTTCCTGAGCTGCATTTCGTATCTAGTACATTACACTGAACACCCTTTCTGAGCTTTGCTAGTATTTTTAATCTTTTTAGCACAGGCTTTTTAAATGGCTTTTGAGATCCCAAATGAAGTATTACTAATATTCAGTAATAATACAATAAAATTTTTAAAGTAAATGCTTTATGTATCTGCTTAATGCTTGGACTAAATTTTAATAAAAAGTTGGATTATGTTTTAAACTTGTAGTTATTATAACCAAAATCTATTTTTATTCCTATTAACATGGAAATCATATCCCATAAAGGGAGAAATGAGAACTGAATCTGATTCTTAGATGTAATAGTTGCATGCTAAAACTTCATCAGAATATTTTATGACTTTCAGTAATAACTGCCTTATTGTAAATGCTGAATTTGGGTTATTAAATTACAAAGCATTCATTTTCAAGACACTGGACTTGGTTGGTGCATCTCTGCCACTGCTCCACTGTGGCTTGGAACCAGTCACTTCACTTACCTGTGCTTCTCCTGCTGTAATTCTGGAGTTACCTGACAACTAGTTTAACAACTTGTTGTCAGCTTGCATATAGGTTGCTGTGAATTGAGAATAACACATCAATAAATCATGTGCATATGAACAGTAAAAACTCAGTAATAAACAAGTTGAATTAGGGCATTAACATCGATGAAACCTGTAGGTAATTATTTGCTGTAAGAATGGTGCAGTTATTTAATGATATCTATACTGGACACAATAATACCTTATGATATACATGATTTTTAATGTGTCCAAACCCTTAGTATTGTGGGTTTATACCATCAAAAATGCTGTATAAAAATATTATTTTCTTATACTGCCCCACAAATGACACATACAATTAGTAAATCTGTATACTAATTTATATAATTGGTTAAATCTATTTAAAATAGCATGATGAGGGAATTATATACATTTTCAAAAGGTATGGAAATAGGGGACAAAGGTGAAGCATTCTTGATGTAAATGGTGTATTAACATAAGGCAGTTATGGCAATTTAGCTTGTATAGTACCTTTTTTAATCAGTATTGTACAATACGGTATTAACTTGGCCTCTGATCTCATTTGGCTGTACTGAAAGATTACAGGGATGCCAGTTGCTCTTTGGGATTAAGGCTGCATTTAACTTGGAGTGTCAAACAAGGATTTGTTTTCTTTATGAATGCATGATAAGGCATATCTGCTAGGATGTTTGATTTCTTGTAGAATGAAGCTTTGGGTATTATTGAATAGAGAATTTAATATTCAAATGCAGCATTCTATTTTAACAGGAATGAGAAAATGTCTTGGGTTAACTGTACAGTTTTGGGTGCTGATTAAATGAATAAAGTCAATAGATGCACTAGATCTGGTAGCAGGACAGCGTGTGTTAATGAACTACTTCTGTGCAGGCAAGTGTTGTTTCAAATGCTGCAGTGCAAAGTTCCAATAATTTGCTTTAATGCAAAAGATTTCCTGAGGACTCTACTGCAAGTCTATGGCAATGAAATTAGCTGGAAACAAGGTAACTATTGAATCCATGATCTCATTCTGTTATCTCTGTGCTTTTGATGTTTCTCTTAAAATCACTAGGTATAGAAATAACTAAATTGATGGTTAAGTAATATGTTGAAAACCAGAGTTTAGTACAATGGAAAGAACATCCTTCTTACAGGAGGTTGTGACCAGAGGCTTGTCAAGATGATATATTTCTTCTCAGTGTAGAAATCAGATCATTGAGTAATTTAAGGATAGCTTCCAGTGGAAACAAAAACTCTCAACACAGTCCTGACTATAGCTGAAAAGGTCAAACTACTTCATGTTTCATATTCCCTAGAAAAAAATTTCCTCTGCTCAAAGGAAAGCCTAAAATAAATCCCAGAGATGCTTATAGTTGTCAGAATAAAGAATCACTTGAATGGGTCCTTGGTTTTTTTGATAGGAGCAAATAAGACTCTTTTGTATGGATTTTAAAGCAACTACAAACATAAGATAGACTGGGTTTTTTTGTGTTCCATGTATCAGATTACTGCTGAGTGAGTTACAAAAGTAAATGTGACATTTCAGGAAGGGTTTCCTCTATGGAGAGCCACCAGCTTCTGTTCAGTGTCTGAAAGGTTTTGTCAGTAAATCTCTCTGGAAACTGATGGTGATTTAGAATCCAGTATGAAGATCTACACAAAAGACAGCACTGGGAATGAGAAGGGAGGGAAGAAATGTCATGATGGTACTGGCAGTTGTGACCGTTTTATAACCTGTACACACAGAAGTACCAGTTCTAGGTTAGAGCCTGTCTGATGCATGGGATTGGAATCTGAGGTTTCTAGTAACTAAAGGAATCCTTGTCTAGGTTTTCTTGAATTTTGAAAGTTGTTACTTCCTCCCATGCTATTTCTCCTGTGGTAAAAATACAAAAGAAAACCAAAAAACCCCCAACAAAACAAAGCACCAGAAAACCTAAAATTTCTCTTCAACATAGTCCTGCAGCTGTAACTTGCATTATGGACTTTAAAGTTTGCTTCCAGGTGACTGAGTCTGTAAGGTCATGTAGCACCTAAATGTACCTGTGGGTCATCATTGGGACTTACTTAGGGGTTACTGAAGAGGGTAATTAGTCCTATCTTTGAATATATCATGAAGCATTCTAGTGATTAGTTTCCATGTTCTCTGTGGTGCTGCAGCACACATGTTGAGGTTGTAGTTCAAAGGCAGCTGAAAGCACTGGGCTTGCTCCATCCTATCCATCTGTGTGAGCATGAGACAAAGTGCAGCATAAGCACATATGACCCTTCAGACAGAAGGTTCTGATTTTTAGAAACATTGCATTGTGCACCAATATGTGAATTCATATAGATGTTAATGATCTCAGGAGTCTGATTACTAGGAAGTAAATCTTTCCCTGATCCCCAGCAGCAATTTTGTGGATATCAGTCCACAAAGGACAACAAAACTGTACCAGAGGGAGGCACTCATAAGTAGAACTTATGAGCTTGAGATTTTTCTGTGATAAGAAAGAGAAGCTTTTACAGTAAATCTAAAGAACCAAACGTTTACTTATATTTTAACACTTTGAAAAATCAACCAACCAAAACCAAAAGAGAACCCAAACCCACAAAATAGCCTTCTTCAAAAATGTTCAATACTGAACTTACTCCTGTGTAGTCATGATATTGACTGTTTGTCACAGCTGTGAATTCAGTGCTTAACATTTCTGCGGGGTAAATGTTTGTCCTTCAATGATGTGTGCCTGCAGGAAAGGTGGGAGAAACTTCAGAGGTATTTTGCAGTATGGGAGGTAATTTAATTATTTTGTCAGAAATAACTGATTTTTTTGTAGTTGCTGATGGTGTCGTGTTAGACCCAAGGATTGCAGCGTGGCTGATAGACCCCAGTGACACAGTCCCTTCCTTTGAAAGTTTAATACAGAAGTATTTTGAAAAGCCTTTGCCAAAGGGAACAGAAAATATGGATACAGGCACTGTGAGAAATGCATCTGTAAGTAGTTTGTTTTCAATTGTTTGTGATTAAAAGGGGAGGGGAATGATAAAAGAATTGCTTTTGCTTACAAAATATTGCAAAAAAGAATAATGCTTTTCTGATGGGAATGATTCTATTACTACTACTTGTTGGAAATCTAAAGGAAGGGCTAAAGGGAAGGTTTCACTGCATTTTACCAAGATGGGATCTCATTCTCCAGGCACATCTGTAAATTTTTCCTTCAAAACTGTAAAGTTCAGTGACAATTAATATATAATCTTACCCTTTTTCTTTCTACCTCCCTGCAAACTGATGTCCAGCTATCCTTTCCAAAATGTCTAATGCCTTGTTCTCCAAGTCCTGTGAACTTGTAGCCTATATTTAGTTAATTGTTATTAAGAACTTTGCTAAATTTCACAGCTGGGAAAGACATCACATGGTAGGCTGAGGAACAGCAGGGAGTCAAATGTGAACCTTCAAGCATGTATGTGGAAAAATATGTGAATTTTTATTCTCAGTACAGGAGAATGTGTGATGTACTTTTTGTGACATTATCCCCAGCTCTATAGAAATGTCTTCCTATGTTCCTATGGAAGGTGTTCCTATATTCCTGTTGAAATGTATTTACTGAATGTTATAAAGTTTTGACATGTGTGTTTGGGCCATGGTGATCTACTGTGGACACATTAGCCTTCAGATGTTGTTTGAATGATAAGATGATGTGCAGCAATGTAAATTATGATTTTCTTTGAGCTGTTCACTTTTCAGAGGATTTACTTGTTCAGACCAGTATTGCAACATGATTATAGACCTTCTAGGGTACAAATCCACAGATTTAGAGCATGGACAGAGGTCAGTTGTATTGGCACACATCCATTAATATGGGCATTTCTGAGCAAACCAGAGCCAGTTTACTTTTAAACACTGGCTGTAAACTGCAGTTGTTCAGAAGCTTGTTCACTTTTCAGAGGATTTACTTGTTCAGACCAGTATTGCAACATGATTATAGACCTTCTAGGGTACAAATCCACAGATTTAGAGCATGGACAGAGGTCAGTTGTATTGGCACACATCCATTAATATGGGCATTTCTGAGCAAACCAGAGCCAGTTTACTTTTAAACACTGGCTGTAAACTGCAGTTGTTCAGAAGCTACTTCTTAAGCTATTTTTTTGGGAATGGACAGGAAAACAGGCAGAAGCTGTAAACTGGTTATTTCTCCATATGTTGGTCCTCCTGTGAGTCAGCATCCTTAACCTCGTCTCTTTCCTTAGCTTGACTCAGTCTTTTGTTCTTCAGCTATCACATCTGTTCTTAGTTATCATTTATCTATGTTGTCGTCCTGATTCCAGTATTGAAATCATATTTCCTTCCTGTCCTACTTCAGGTCTAGTTTGTTTCCTTGCCCCAACCATCTCCAGTGCCTTTATGCTGACTTGTTCACTCAAGTCCCAGTTAATTCTTCCTTCTCACATCCTGTGATTATTCCCATCCATTCCTTATTCTTTAATTGCTTCCCTGGAATCTCACACTTTCTTTTTGGCTTCTCTGTTTGCTCAGCAAGCCCCAAGTCTTCCTGTGAATCCTAGCTCTTTGCCAGATTTCTCTCTTCAGCCTTCCTGCTGTTTTTACTGGTAGGTTCCTAACAGTTGTCTGTACTCCCAGAGGGATCTGTGCCAGGTGATATATCATGTCTTGTGCCCCACTACTTCCATGAAGCTCCCTCTGTATTCTACTAGTCTTGTCCACCCAGCACAGTACTTGGAATGGCTGCTGAAGTATTCTGTAGCCTACTGCTCACCCACACACCTCTAGCACAGAACATGTGCTACTTGCTTCTTGCTGCATATTTGATGCTGTGCCAAAGGGGTCATAGTCCATATTCCCTGAAACTTCTGCTGTAACAGGTGCTAAACATCACACTGTTCCTGTCATCGCTGCCTTCACTGAGGAGGAATCTTGGTGTCAGTGGAAGCCTGTCATTGGGCTTTCTTCCACCTCCAGAATGTGACCAAGCAAGCTGCCTGCTGCTGAAAGCTTAGTGTTTCACAGCTTGTTTGTTCCAGAACGACCCGTATGGACAAAGTTTCTCGGAGACAGGTTGATGATTTTGCACTGCAGTGTGGATGTGCTTGACTTAATCTGTTTGGAGTAGAGAGAAGTCATCACTGATAGGACTAGATTGTTACAGAACAAGGATGACCACAAGTGGACCTAGATATTTCAGCTTTGAAGAGAGCCCTCTGTATCCTACCTTCATGTGCTGTTTTTTTCTCAGTCTTGAAGTGTTCACATGCTGTAGGCTGAGGAGAAGCCTGTACACAGGTGTCAATATTGCTCACAAATGACCAACACACACTGCTCAAGTTGTATAGACTAATAGCCTTGAGCAGATTTGGAACCTGCAGGTGCTCTCAGTGGAATTCATTACCCCATTCTAACACTTCTGCTGCTGGGGCTTTGCTTGGACATGTCCTGCTAACAGGCATTAGCTTGTGTACAACCTGTTTAGTTTTAGCTGCTGTTATTCTGAGTCATCTGGTCATTTCAGGGTGAAAACAAGGCTTAAATGTGTTCTGAATGACTGAACTCTAGTGTCCCTTTGGCTTATGGTATGTGGTAGGAAAATGTCTCTGCAGCAAAGGTTACCCCAAAACTCAGCTAATTCTATTTACAACATGAGACATAACCTGTTCTATGTCAGAGATGTCTCCCAGAATTGCTGTTACATTTGGCCCTTCTTTTAAAAGTGAGTTGGACCAGTAAGATAAAGTTCCCTTGATGGTCCCCAGCTGTGTACCAGAATGTGTGCCCCTGTAGCAATACTGTGTTACAATTTGTCCTAATATAAACTAATTTTCAGTCAGTTCTGGTTCTATTGTGTTTGTGCAGCAACAAGTAATTTGGATTCCTTCTGCATTCTGTTTGGATCAAACAATGGATGAAGCATTGCTCTTGTCAGTCTCCATCTGCTGTAAAGCTTTAGTTCCAGACTTTTGATTAGTTTTGCGGGTTTTTTTTTCCAAATAATGGGACTGTTTTGCAAACAGTAGGCTAAAATTGAGTTTTGTGTACAAAGGCAGAGTTTTATACGCTGATTGGAGGATGGATTATGTTCACCTGTTGAATTAAAGCTGATTCTTGCACTGTGAGGGCACAGGATCAAGTGTTTAGTTGTACCAGTGCCTCAGTCTGTGACTACCCTCACTCCCTAGATACACAACTAGGAGGTTCTGAGTGTCATCCTGAAGACAAGGAGGAGGTAATGGCAACAAGCTCAGGGAGCAGCTCCTGCAAAAGATCCTGGTCATATGGAAAAGGGTGTCCAGAGGTATCATCTCACATACTCAGAAGGGTCCTTACCTCCCTGAAGGAGGTACCTACCTCCTCAGAGGTATCTATCCATATAGATATCCATATATCTCCATATAATGCCTCTTTCTACACAAACAACTCGATTAAATTTCGCCATCTTACATAAAGACTTCAGAACTATCTTAGCATGACATACTTAATTCCATGTGACCCATTTTCCTGCCAGCAACATGGACCAGTGTATGATTCTTTTATTGGGATAGACAAGTGTATATCTTCAGTCTTCTGAAACGCTGTCCTAGGTTCTGTGGGTTCTGGCCCAGGAATTTTACAGGACTGTGCTAGTAATTTTTTCACTTAGTGTTTTAGATCTAAAGTTATTACACAATTTTGATTTTTTTCAGCCATTATTGGTGATACAGACTGCAGGCAAGAACATCTGCAGCACTTTTCACATTCCCATCCTTCCTCACAGGAATTTAGTAATGGAGAGCAGCACTTCATTGTTTAAATTTTGTGCGTTAGCCTGATAATCAGATTTAATAGGTTGGCATTAAGTTTATTTTTAGTGATCATGTTCTTGGGGCTAACAATCATATTCTCAGTGTCTGTATGCATTTCAAAATGGTCTTCTAGCCAGCTGAAGGAGGTGGCATAGCTCTGTGTGCAACACTTCTGGAACAGAAGGGAAGGCAGTGAACAGTTCTGGCACAGAAGAGTGACAGTACTTACAGGAGAAAGAAAACTGCAGGGAATTTTTCCCCATTATAGAAGTAGTAATAGGTTCTGACTTCAATGTCAAAGGCAGTTTTATAGGTCATATTTCTCCATACTCTCTCTGTGCAAAATGTACAATAAAGGAACAGGCAAAATCTGCAATGTTCATAATCTGTAGTGCTGTGTTCATGAATTGGGTTTGTCAGAGGTCTGAGAACATTTCTGACATGTTAATATAACAGAAAACATACAGAAAATTGTGGTTTTATATTTTAATACCTTTTAAAAATGTAGTATTCTAAATATTTTTATATTAGCATTAAAACTACTGATTTATTTTTGCTTTGTTTACATCAGTATCAAAACTTAGGTGTGAACTTGGAGAAGCTTTATAAGGTAATGATGGATCTTGCTCATGACTTAAAGGTAAGACACAAAGTAGTTACTCAGAAACAACTTATTATCATGAGTTAAAGAAAGTTTATGATATATTTCTCATTCAAATTAGAATCTTTACTCAAGTTAACCCGAATGCTTCAGTCCTTATTGGCTTATGTTGGTAGTCAACATTTGAAACAAATTACCCATCAAATTTGCCTTTTTTTTTCCAGCAGGAGGAAATGATTAGTCTCAAGGTTAACCTTTAGAAAAAGCTTTTCCTTTACGACAGTTAATTAAATATCTAAATGAAGATTCTGAAAACAGGAAAGGTTCAGAATATTGTGATTTTTCTTTTGGTATTTTAAATCTGTGTTACAGTTTAAAAAGTGTTAGAACATAGTATAGCTGGGCTTTTTCTATCTATTCCTTGGGTACAGAAGCTCTCAGCATATCTTTTTGCTCTGAGTTGTGTTAGCCATACACTGGAATAGGCTTCCCAGAGAGGTAATGGATGCCTCAGGCCTGTCAGAGTTTAAGAGGCATTTGGACAGTGCCCTTAATCATATGCTTTAACTTTTGGTCAGCCCTGAATTGGTCAGGCAGTGGGACTAGATGGTCATTGTAGGTCCTTTCCAAGAGAACTATTATGCTCTATTTTACCCCTTATTGCAGTTCAAAATGCAACTCAAGAAGTCTTTCAGTGGGTTGTGTGTGTGTTTGTTTTCTGCCTGTAATCCTATACCTGGAAAAGTGTCACAATGTAGGGATATGCTCAGGTTTTGGTGGAAGATCATAATTTCCTAGGGATTTTCTTTGAAGCTGATGGTAGCAAGTTGTAGGGTTTAGGCCATTAGTTGATGGAGCCAAATTAATCTGGGTGTCCAAGTGGCCCAGCAGTATGATGCCCAGTCTCTGAAGGAAGACAACAGGGAAACACCAGAGGCACAGAAACACTGAGATCCAGCCTACAAGAGGAGTTTTTAGACTACTGTTGCTGTCTGATTCCTTCAGTGGTTAGAGAAAACTTCCTGTTCTCTGTAACTAATTTGGGTACATAACCTTATCATCTTTCATTTCTCCCTAATGAAACCAAAGTTATGAATTATGAATGGTTGCTTAATTGTTCAAGTGAACTAAAAAAAGGGATAACTATGTCCATTTCTAATGAAGCTTGCTCTAAAAATAAGCTTTTTATGAAAATGAGGTATGTATATTTCTTTATTAGTGTTCCTGTACAAAATGATATACTATTGCAAAATGTATTTTCCACAAAAAGAAGTGATAATGGGATACAGTGCTTAGATAATATAATTTGCACTAAGCAGTATTTAATGCCACAAACAATATATATATATATATGTCATATAAAAAGGGAATGTACAGAAAGGGAACTACTTTCACTGTAAGACAGATTCTCCTAATGACACTACTATATGTTTTAAGATCAAAGTTAGCTGGCACTGTAGAATTTATTTATATCTTGCTTTACAGGCTCAAGGTTTGTGGAACTTATTTTGCACATTAGAGCTTCCACTTATCAAAATTCTGGCAGGTATGAAAGTTCAGTTCAAAATATGAATCTTCACTATTTTTGCACAGCTGCTGACTATGTGAAAGTAGAATGTAATAGCTCAGAATATGAAATGCTGTCTTAGCCTCGTAACAGCTGCGTGGGTTTGAGCTTCCATTTTACTGTCCAAGAAACGTGAGATTGAGATTGTCAATTGAAAATGTTCTCAACATATAATTGTATTTACAGTGATGGAAACACACAAAATATATGTGAACAAACAAGAACTGAAAAAAACATCAGAGATTCTGGGGGTAAATTTTTTATTCTTTTTCTCTTTTGGAAATTGTATAGCATCATCTTTGTGCTTGTACTGAGGATAGCTGATTAAAAAGAGAAGGAATCTGTCACATTTTATCTAACAGTTTGGGGTTTCTAGTGTTATCGTTATGAATAGAACTAATGATATTTACATTTAAGGATGTTTCCATATTTATTTAGTTGAGTAAAAAAGAGACATTTGCTTCATTATCCTTGGCCCAGAATTGAGGTTGCTTTGCAAAATGCACAGGTCCTTTTGGGTTGTGTGTTGTAGAGTAAAAATGGTAATGACTCTTTCTGAACTTGCATTCAGTAACCATCTTTCTGCAAAGAGATTTCTCTCCCTCTCTTTGTAAATAATACACTCTGGACAACTTATGTGTTCTCTGATAAAAATAGCTACAAGGGAATCCCCTTTGGTAGCATAAAATTTCACTAGATAATCATAGTGGTCGACCAGATTATTAATTTATCAAAATAATTTGCGTAGCTCTGTTTCTCACAGATCTCTATAGTTGCCTTTTCCCACAAATGTTGTTACTTTTTACTGCAGTAAATCCCCTTCCCAGATCATGAAGAAATATAGATTAAAGCGTATCTAAGCAATCTACTAAACCAACTGTTGATAGCCAGCAATGATTGCACAATATCAAGTACTCCCTTGTAAAATAAAACTCCAAAATACTTGTTAACCTAGGAGGTAGCAGATATTGACGAAAATAATAATGCAAACAGAATAATTCTGATGTACTAATATTTAGTTGCGGCTCAAAGAGCTTGAACAAGAAGCTCATCAAGTTGCTGGAGAACGATTCCTTTTGACCAGCAGTTATCAGCTCAGAGAGGTAATATTTGTGCTACTGCTATTATGTAAGGTTTAAGTTCTGCAAATTGTTATTGATACAGAAGAATTGTAAAGCATATAAAACCATCCATACAACTTCAGAATTCTTTTCTTCTATGTTAGTTATCTTATTTTCTAATTTCATGAAGGACATAGCAGTTTTTCATAAATCTGACAATGTTGGATAATCTGTATTTGAATGTATTTACATAAATTATGCACTTACTCTTAGTAAATGTATTACTATTTCAGTAGCTCAAAAATAAAGATGATCTTTTTAATCCTGTGTTCTCTTTGCTACAGTATGCTCTATTTACCTTGAAACCTGTTTTCTAGACTTAAGTTCAAGCACCAAATAATTTTCCTTTCTTTTTCAGCACTTGAAACACTGAAACATTTTGTTTGTATTTCTCTTACTGTAGGTACTATTTGATAAATTAAAGCTGCACACACTGTGTGAGAAACTTCCCAGAACTGAAATGCAACAGCTTGTGTCCACCTCAGAAGTTGCGGTGAGACTGGGAGAGGTTTTCAAAACATCTGCATGATTTAGCTAAAATGCTGAGTTATATTCCAGTGAAACTGTCATTTGTCTAAAGTTTTCCTAACAATCTTGATTTATTTTTGTATTGTACTAATTATGCTTCACTTACATGTGCAAAGAAAGTTGCACTCCATAATGGGGTAAACCAAACTTGCTACTCAAGCTAAATTTTAGCTATAAACCAGGGTTAAAAATTTTAATACCAGCATGACTGTATGACCATCTTCCTCAGAGCAGGGACACTTTCTTACTAGTCAGATTTTGGCAGCTTGGAACAACTGACTGACTGGGTGACACAGACCATAGGGTGAAAGAAAAGAGTATTAATATAAAATCTGCTGGTGAAGGCAATAGCAACACAGACTTCCTCTTTGCATCAGAAGATCTGGGCTAAAACCACATTGTCCTCTTTTTATGGACCCATAACTCATTCATTCGTGCTAGGTCAAGAGGTCTGTAGGAAATGAGTTGATACCCATGGACACACTATTGCTGATACATGCCAGGAGGCCATTGGCCTTCTTGGCCACCTGGGCACATGGTGGCTCATGTTCAGCTGCTGTTGACCAGCACCCCCAGGACCTTTTCTGCCAGGCAGCTTTCCAGCCACTCTTCCCCAAGCCTGTAGTGCTGCAGGAGGTTGTTCTGGCCAAAGGGACCACAACAGGACCCAGCACTTCACCTTGCCAAACCTCATACTGTCAGCCTTAGCCCATCAATCCAGCCTGTCCAGATCCCTCTGTAGAGCTTTCCTACCCTCCAACAGATCAGCTCTTCCATCCCATTTGGTGTCATCTGCAAAATGACTGAGGGTGCCCTCAACCCTCTTGTCCAGACTATTAATAGATCATTTTGTGAAGATAATAATAGTAATGGAATTCCTTCTTAGATGAGATGAAGCCTCTGTGCAGCTGCACTTGTTTCTGGTTTGGTGCCACAATTGTGTTGCTCTAGTTTACATGGTAGTCAGAATAAAATGCACAACTTGTTGCTGAGAATGAACATCTCTGGGGAAGGTGGAAGGGTAGTGTTTGTTTCTCATGGAGTAATTCCATTTTTCAGCCAAGTGTCTGAACTACCATATACAATCTCAGGTAATGTCAACATGAAACATCTGTTAAGGTTTGTTTAATAATATAACATAAGAGAAAAGTATACCAGTAATTCAGATTCTTATTTTGCAGCTACATAAATTGCAAGATCTTCATCCTTTGCCTAAGATAATTTTAGAATACCGTCAGGTGAGCTGATATTTTTCACATAATGTATTTGCATTGAATCAAATTAGCAAGAAAGCTAACATATTCATAGCTAAGTAAGTAAATAAATAGGTTGGGTCTAGTGTAAGTTCTTTCAAACATTTATTTATAGTAGGTATTCTCAGGAGATTTTAAATTTTAATGTTTATACTTGTGTTTTGCAGTGTGTTAGATTATAGCTAGCAAACAACTTTGCTGCAAAAATAGTTGAAATACTTCACTGTTAAATTCACCTCGTGCTATAAAGCATCTCTTAGGGTAAAACTTATTTTTGGAGTTCTGGAGAAATTCTCTGTATAAAGTGAAGGAAGTAACTAGTTATGGAGGGGTTTTTTTGGTGACAAACCTCCTGAAAATGCGAAACAACCAAACAACTTTCAAGATTGAAAAAAAGAGTAGATGTGGGTTTGAATTTGGTTTTGGGTTTGTTTGTTTGGGGTATTTTTGTGTGTGTGTATTTTTTGTGTAGTTTATTGACCTGGGGATATAAATGTAAAAAAATAAATTCCAATAGTTGAGTTATTAGTATCTGCACAGACCTGGCTTTATCACAGAGCATCCACCTAATTTATGCTAATAGATTAAGCTCTCAGTGAGTGTAAATCCATTATTTACTAAGAGGAAACTGTCTTTTAAAAAACACTACAAAGCAGGTTAACATGCACTTGGAAATTAAAATCTTTATTTTATAAATAAGCATGTATCTAAAATTTCCTGTCATTTAGGTTCATAAGATGAAATCAGCTTATGTGGATGGACTTCAAACATGCATGAGAAAGGTAGAAATATAAAAAGCTTGTAAAATATGGTATTTCAGATCATAAAAGGATGTAAAATAATTGCAGTGTTTGCAATTTAAGATGTCATATAGGGAAAATGAAAATATTTATTTTTGGTTTTGTAGTTCTGATTGCTATGCTTTTTTATTACTGATGCTCAAATAAAGTTTAGATTTATGTCTTGATCCTTTTCTTTGTGGGGACTTCTCCTTTGCTTGACTACAGGGATTTATTTCCTCCACATGGAATCAGACAGGAACTGTGACTGGCAGACTTTCAGCCAAACATCCTGTAAGTGATCCTATTAGTAGCTTTACCTTTTACTTAAAAATTGATATTATTTATATACATAAGTAATATTTTTACACGGTTGATTTCATGCAAGTCTAGCAGTTGCTGTATTGTATCTAAATGCTGCACAGAAAAAGCTAATTAAATAGATATTTTGCTCCAGAACATTTGTTCTTAGGAGTATTTTCTGGTATCTGTGGATCAGAGTTGAACAGTGTTCCCTGAAGGAGAGGGGTGCAATTGTGGGCCCTGCATGGACTCTCTAGGCTTCCACTGAGTACTTCTTTGTAATGAGTTCCAGCTGTTCACGAGCCACTCCTTGTAAATAAGCAGTGAGCTCTGGAAGGTGGGTATTATGGACAAGGAGGAAGATCTTTTCTTCTGGAGTTTGACTTCAGGACTTACAGCAGTAAAAGGCTGAGCTGGCAGCTGTGGTGCTCTGGAAGTCTTGAGCATATGGCTGTGCCACTTGGGCTCTTTGTGCTTCTCTCCTGTCTTTGGCTATAATGATCTCCATGTACGTGCTTGTGCCTGAAATGTGCTCTTTGACTTTCTGGACTTTTTGTTTGTTGTTTTTGGGGGTTGTTTTACCAAAGTGGCCATTTTAAGAGCATACTTGAATGTATTCTGTGATCCTGTTTCCCCTGGAGCTCAGGAAGAACACTGACCTTTGGCTGGACTCTTGAGGTCTTTGTGTTCCACCTCTGCCACAGCCCATAGCTGTGTGGATGTGTGCAGGCACTGGTGTGGGAGGAGACAGAGTTGAAAACTGCTTCAGGGACTCAAATCAAGGCATAGGTGGGGGAATAGCAGGAGAAAAGTAGTGACTACCTAGCTGGGGACATTTTCTTTTTGGTTTAGCCATGGCCTTTTCTGGCAAAGCCCTGGCCTCTGGTCCTGTGGAAGAGGGGGAATAGCTGCAAACATGGGACTTGGCTCAGGAAGGCTAGAAGGAATTCATGAGGCAGTTGTCCTTTTAACTTGTGCCCAAAGGTACTGTCAGTTCTTATCCATGCAGGTTTGGGTACTGCTTCTCTGTGTGTCCTGGTCCTAGCCTAGAGATTCATGGGTACAAATGGCATTAGGAGCCTCCTGCAGTCTTGGGAGAAAGGCCATGGTCCCACAGCTCTGTGATAGAGGTATTAGACATAACAGTTACGTTGTGACCACTTTGCATGGTCAAGCTCATGCAGCTGCTGGAAAGCTCTGGTTGGAATGGTGACTTTGGAGTTCTTGCAGAAACCTGTCCTGGGAGGTTCTCACCCTCACCGTAATGGTGACCTCCTTAGCTCTTCTGTCACCTGTCTTCACAATTCAGACTTCATTTATATCTTCATGGTACATATTTTCATACAATTTATCATCAAACAATTTATAGGAAGTGCTGTTGGCTGAGTAAAAAACAGTTTAGGATTCTGAATTAACAATGGAATGGAGAAGTGTTACTGCTGCTCTCACTTCTTGTGCTGCTGGAGAGAACCAAGTGGTGGGAGAGAATGGAAAAGATGATTCTGAAGGTCACAGTTTGCTGAATTCTCCGATGTGATGCACAGGCATTTGCAAGTCAGAGCTGAACCGAGAGCTGTCTTGAACAATCACATACAACACAAAGTGACCTTTGGCCCATAGTGGTAAAAGTGATATGAAATCTATTTTTCTTAAAGGTTGTTTTGCTCCAAAATAATGCTGCTAAAGTTAGCAGCCAGGGTTGCCTAAGGCTGGCTTTTCCTTTTAAGGGAAAACATTGGCATGGCTTTTTTTTGTTTGAAATGTTTATGGAACTTATACCATCTGCTGCTGAATCATTTATTGATATAGAAGATATACTGCAGTGCCCAGTCACTTTGCTAGGTGTTAAAGGATTGGGAAGATTCTTGCCAGAAATCATAAATATTGGAGATATTTTTGCAGTTACTATGATATGATGTCAAATCTTAGCTGAATATTTGCTGAGGTAGTTTATTTTTAACTGTTTTAAAATGCTTTAAGAAGTGATTAAAGCAAAAGATAAGTGTGAATCAGATACAGTGAGAATTCAAACAGAAGAAACATCCCATGTGCTGCAGTGGTTGCGAGAGATGAGGTTCCAAACAAAGCTTTCCTTTATCTTTCTTTTTTTTTTAAAGGTAATGGCTCTATCTGTTCTCTTTCCTTTAAGGCACTAAATAGAGTCCAGGAGGGATTTACTTACAGGTTTGAGGGGAAATGACTAGACGTCAGGTACAGAGCAAGATTTCTTTTCCAGATAAACCCTTCTGTGTTCTTCCTTCAGACAGATCCACATCTGATGTATGCATGATGTATATTTTTGGCTTTATGTGGGTTTTTCTCAATAGATAAGTTTATTCACATGAATTTTTATGACTTTTGTGTTGCAGCAACTTAGAGGGAGTTTTTTAGCAAACTTTACTTCAGTGGCTCTCCATGTATTCATTTGTTTTAATTTAACTGTTCATTTCATTTCTTCTCATTTGGTTTCTTCTTCTACAATGTGTGTGCTGTATAACTAGTGATTTTTCACAAATAACAAAGTGCTATTGCAGTACTTTGTTAGACAGGGACACATTTGTTATTGTGGTGTCCTGCTATAGCATTGTAGCTGCTTATTTGCTACTCCATGAGAACCTGAGTATCTGAAACCTAAAAGTAAATATAGACCCTAAAATTCTTCCGTCAAATTATTTTGTGGTTATTTTTTTTCCACTCTGTGATGAATTGCTTATGACTATTAGGGGAATTTAATTAGGTTTATTATTTGAGTATATAATTTTTAATTCATTTTTGTATAAATATAGTAATTGTGTCTACATTAGGATACTCGTTTATTATATTGCTCATTGTTCTATTAAATATACTTATGACATTCATAAAGACTTGTTTATGTTCTCCAGACCAGAGATGAAATCCCACTCTCCAGCCTCTCACCTTTTAAAGCAAAAATAAGTTATGACAGAGGTGGAAAAGCATAAATCCAGTTAAGATCAAACCTCTTTCAGTATGAACAGAGAGATATGCTAACTTGAGATATAAAGATTGCATAAAATTGGATGTTATAATTTGGTTTAAGATGTAAACTTTAGTGCTAGAATCAGATATTCTGTATTAAGTTTTCTTTCCTTCAGGCTTCTGCAGCAGAAACTGAAATGCTGCTAATGAGTTTATGCTTCTCTACTTCAGAAAATGTTTGTATCATTAAAAATCATAAAGTGCTGGGTGGGCTTCAGGGGGCATTTCCTTCCTTTTAGTAACAAAGTTATGCCAAAGACAAATAAAATTTTTTACCTTCTTGGAGCAAATAGGGAAGGAAAAAACCATTCCTGTTTCTCTTCAGAAAAATCCTTTCAGTGCTTGTCCAGAAAGGCAAAGCAATAAAATTATTTAACCTGTCAAAG